CCCCAAAACCCCAAAACCCCAAAACCCCAAAACCCCAAACTTTAATTATAGGTAAATATTTACTATTTTCACATAAAAATGGGATCAAACTGAAGCTCTATTCTAAGCAGTTGTGATATATTCGAAAGCAACAAAAGTTAACTCCACACCTAACCTTTTAGGAACCGGCATACTTAAAAATGTTGATGAAGAAAATTTCTCTACTAGGAGAAGAAACAAGGTAGGGCTATTTCCCTGGAATCACTCCAGATTAGGCTAACACCTCTTATAGAGAAGATCAGGCTCAGGGGATAACTCTTCTGATGGGAAAGAGATCACTTTCGAAGTTGATAACAGAACTTTGAAACGGTCTGAAAGTATTTTAACAACCTTACCGCACAGCAACTGAGAGTCAAAGAAATGTTTGTGTCCATAAGGCAAATCAAAATAGGAAGAAATTAATAAAATAAGGGCCAATACATCGATAGCAAGAAGCAGATGAAGCAGCTGCTCAACAGTAACTTATCAGCCCTAACCATTATCTTAGGCATTGATTCAGATTACTTAGCAATAGAAGTTGAAGACATTCTCAAAGAACTTCCAGATTACGATTATTTTAGAGAAGGAGGGAGCCTTTCCCAAGCTTATGAGTTTGTAGACCACAGCATTTTTGGAGATGGCAGCAAGTACTGAGGCCAGTTCTATGCTGGAACTAACATGAAGGAAGGCCTCGGATACATCATCCTGCCAGAGGGGTCACTGATTCAAGGCGAATTTTATAGAGGAGAGCCTGTTTATGGCAGGTTTATTCAGCTCACAGGCGATGTTTATGAAGGTAAACTTAATTATAAGTTTCAGGCCAATTGGAGGATTACAGTCCAAATGGTAAAGGCAAGGTCACTAGGGATGGAGAAGTAATATTCAAAGGGAGCTTTATCGGAGGCGTCTATCACGAACAAACAAGTCCTGAAAAAGTAAGGCACTCTCTAAATTCTAGGCAACCTCAAAGAAAAGAAAAAGCAAAAAGTATGTATCTAAATCACAATTAGGAGTAGAAAAAGAGATTAAATGAAGACAAACTCTCAGAAAGTTGAATGTCCACCAATCTATCTTTTCAATTGAAATCCAACCTTAGGGGTTTTGGGGTTTTGGGGTTTTGGGGTTTTGGGG